TGGGTTTCCGAGGCAGTATCACTACAGAAGTAGGATTGCCCAACCTTCCTTCCGAGGAGTGGCTGGTGGGTTTGAACCGCCAGCTTTCTGGTGAGCAGTCAGGTGCCTTAGGCACTATGCTACCAGAGCTCCTAGCCTTCTGGTTAGCAGTTGATAAAATTCCAATTAAGAGACACTTAATGTATAACATTATGTACTACACAAAGGTCTGCATGGATCAAAATGTCAAATCACAATTTCTAGAAAAGCAGTGATATTAGAGGTTTACCTCTATATAGTTACATTTGGTTAGCAAAAAAGGCACTTTTTTTTAAGTTAGGGATATTTTCAAATTTAAAAACAGTTATTTTAAACACCATTACTCATGACTCATCTGAAGTTGAATACAACTTCACAATGCCTAAAGATTTACCAAGTCATTTACGTTAATCTGCATTTATGATATTCTATTATTGAACTTTATGCAAGTTCTATTAGGTCAGACAGGGTCCCTATGAGTCAGAAGAGACTCATGGCAGTGGCTTTTCTTTTGGAGACGGGGGAGTGTATGTGAGAACCTGTCGAAAACATGAGAAACAATAAAAGAGAATCCTTAACTTAAAATATATGAGTGATAATTACCTGATGATGCTTGCATTTCTACATAATGATCATTCCAACTTCATGCTTAGAGGGATGTGATCGATAACATACATTTAAGAATGCAATTGTACAGCAAAGACAGTATCTTCACTTTAGTTACTCTGATTTCTTCTGAAATAGGTAGGAATAGTTTCATAAGCCTTGATTCCTTATCAATTTTATTTCATAAGACATTGCCTTTGATATAAAAACTTGCTAAGAAAAGTGTTGATTTGATATGTCAGCTTTCTTGCTGAGAATTGTCATAGTCGAATAATATTGTTTTTGTTTTTTTTTCCCTCGCAGTGGAACACCCTGACAAAATGGCTAATGACCAAGGTATGGTAGCTCAATCTGTCTTTTTTTTTTACCCCTCTATTTGAATCACTCTGATCTGTTAGACATGTTGGTCATTACTTTGTATTCCTCTTTTCACCTGGGCCATACACCTGGTGAAGCAGACATTGGCGTGATAATTAATCTTGTTAATGAAGTTCTGCTTGGCTGAGGCTGCGGCTCAGATAGGGAAGATGTAAATTTTCTTGAGAGGAAATTGTTTTGTCTCTATTCTGAAGGACCAATTAAAATGTCAAACTCCTTCATATGAAATAAATTTTTAGTCTCTGTCTGCACTTCTGAATAATTCACATTAAGTATAATTAAGCTCAGCATAATTTTCAAGCTGCTCTTGTACCCTTTCGTGAGCTATGGATTAAAGTTCTGTAGCCCTATAGAGAAAAACGATAAATCATGTGTGTTCTGCAATGAGCTGCTTTTAGTAAATAAAAACAAAGTTGGGTCAACTTTTTTTAGGGCATTACCATTGCTCATCTTGAAACCAAAAAGTTTTTCATTCTGTGAATCAGATGCTGATCTGACTTGGAGTATTTTATTCTTCTTCCATTCTTTTACTAAAAGCTGATTAGTGTAGAGAAATGAGGATGATTTCACATAGAGCCAAATGGAGATGGGTAAGAGCTATCCATCAGCTCCTAAGGGGCAGATAGGAATTTGGAATCACCATGATTATAGCATAGACTAATTCGTATGCCATAGACTGCTTAGTAAATTAAAATTTCATTCTCTTTAGGCTAGGACAATTAGTAGAATGGTAAAGGAGAAAAAGAATTGTTTATAAATTTTATTTGCTCAAGATGTTGTATTTCAATAACTATGAGGATTGGGAATACTAATAATTGGTATGGTCAGTGTCCTGAGTATTTGTTGATTCAGAGTCTACAACTCTGGTAGTTTGTCTCCTGCTTTGGGCACCTACTGTCATCAGAATCAGTTTTAAGTGTTCTGTCACAGAGGGCACCATGTTCTAAGACTGGGGAAAAACATTCTTAGAAACTCCAACATGATGCTTTTAAAAAATTTTATTGTGGTAAAAACATATACAACAAGACATTCACCAATATAACAATTTCCATATTTGTAGCTCATGGACATTGATGACATTTCTCATGTTGTGCCACCATTATTGCTATCCTTGTCAAAAATTTCTACCACCTATTATCATTAAGCTCAATGCCTCCCAAACAAAAGCTTCCCCTTTCCCTCTCCCTCCTACCCCTGGTAATCTTTGGTACAAATAGATAGTCATTTTTTTCCAACCTATCTAGATATTTTCCCTGCCTTCCCTTCCCATCCCTGATAACCAACAAAAAAAACTCCTTCTAACCAACATGATACTTCTAACTTTTAACAATTACTAAGCTTCTCAATTGCCGCAGACCAGCACAGTCACTGGGCTCGGTTCTATAACTCGAAGAAGATTATAGGTGAATAGGGAGTCGGCGAATTGGCTAACAGAAGACAAACAACTCAGAGGCTGCTTGCAACTGAGAGCGTTTATTGAGTTATAGGGCCAAGCTTTTATGGTGC